ACGGAGGGGGGCAGATGGAATAGGAGATAGGGCACTCCTCCCAAGGAGGCACATGACAAGGAGATTAGTCAGCAAGTAGCATGTAGACAGCCAAATTACCCAAGAGGTGTCAGATCCACTGATTCTGGCCATCAGATCCATTTATGACAAAGCACAAGCAGTGATATCCAAAGGATGGCATGTCAGCGGCATCTAGCATTCCCATCAACTCCGCTGCACAAGTGTTTGAGCGTTGATTTTGAGTCCAAGGCTTGTGTACCACAGGATATCACCTATTCATAGTATTCACAAAACTACATCAAATCAAAGGTAATGTAAATTGTGCTAATTCTTGAAGAAGAAGCGAGGATAATATATGGGAAGACAATTTCAAAGAAAGACATTTGAGTTGGTAGCAACACTGCGAAAAAAAGATGGTGGGTGGTGAATTGACGGCATTGGTAGTTGAATAGATGGGATTAGAATTTAATGATAAAATGACAAAGGATTGGTATTTTTCTCCCTCGGCCTCTACCTCGCTCATTGGGATTCTGGGAAGTAAGATAGAAGATACAACTTACAGCTTACAACGGGTTTGCATAGTGCACATCAGTCATGGTGCTAGCCCTTGTCTATCATCTGGAATGCCTAGTCTTGTTCCTTCCCCTTCACCTAGAGTGATTTTTTCACAGAACTCTTGGAGTTGCGAAGAACGAGAGATCATGAAGGGGAGCAATATTGTCAGTAGGAGTATTTTAATCAATTTGATTGAACAAGGAGGTACAGTCATCCACCTGCTAATGATACACCCAAAATGAGAAATTAGCTTCAACAGATTTGAGCACAACCTTTCTCTACAAAAACTACATAAAAATCTCAGATAAATTCCTGTCTATCACTGTACCAAATTTCAGAATGTTTCACCCACATTTCACAAAGAAAAATTAAGATTATGGGTGTATCATTGAGGGGTGTGACTGTATTTGGCTATTTCTGAAAAACAGTCCATTTTGTATGCTCCACAGCTTTGCCAATTCTGCCTCAATTGCATCCAAATTATGTACGGTGGTAGATATGAGTTTGTACTACTTGTTACAACTTGTTTCATAAAAATCGGTCTAGTATTGAGTGAGATATTGACTAGTCAAAAGTGTATCAAATGGGGGTGGCATATCATTAAGGGGTGGATGACTGCAGAGTAGAATTGTCCGAAGAGAGAGAATGTGGTTTCACAAACTTATTCGACCATTTTCCGAAGCAAGGACGTGTCTGGAGATTCGGACGAGGGTGAATGCAGTACTGATACCATTTTGATTTCATAGAATAAAGCCGCATCGTGCGAGATTCCCTAATATGGTATGAGGGTGGTACCCTCATGCTGTGGGAACAACGGTCGGGATCGGAGGATCAGATGCCTCTTGAAATTACCACCACTTCACCACGCATCTGCATCGTCGGAGGCACTTGTGCCCGTTCCACCGGCTACAGTGGTCACGCGTATGTACTCTCGGCTACCTCCCGGATGTATAAAAGGGCTGCGTTAGCTCTGCTTTCGATAGGATTCCAATCCGCCGTTTACCTTACTACCCTCTCCTCCTCCTCCTCCCTCTCAACGTCAACAGCTTTCGCTCCATCTTGCTCGTCATCAGCGTCCCCGATAGGTAAGCCCTTTTTGTTCACATTGCGTTTTGTTGTCTCTGATTGTCCTCCGCAGCCGTTAACGTCGTCCGCGAAGCCGCCTAGGGTGAGTCTCCCCATCTGCTTCACCTCCCCGCTGTTCTGATACGCTCGCGCATCGTTTCAGGACTCTGCTGGATGTTCTCTGTATTAAGTCAGTGTCGTCTTTAACCCACACATCAACGAAAATGACTTACGTGACATTTATAGTTGGGTGGATGATTCTTCGTCAATGTGTGCGTCCACACTGAATTACTACGCTCTCCTCCCCCTCCTTCTTTTCGACGTCGATGCACTTCATTCCATCTTGCTCGTCCCCGATCAGTAAGCCCTCTCGGTTCACAATGTGTCTTGTCGTCGCTGACGGTCCTCCGCAGTCGTTAAAGTCATCTTGGATGTCGCCCCCCCTCTGCTTCACCTCCCCCTTTGCTGATATACGTGCTCGTCAATTCAGGACCCTATTGGACGATCTCGAGGTCAGGTCAGTATCGTCGTTTAACCCGCACATCAACAAGATGACTTACTAGCCGGGAGTTCTTGGTCAATGTATGCGCCCACGTTGGAGGCATCCGACAGTCCTCATCAACCCCCAGGAACCCTTTCTTCTGCGCCACTAAAGACTTCCGCTGAGGTCGAGTATTGGCCCGGAAGAACGTGCGATCGTGGACTGAAAGTTGGGAAGGTGGTTCGGGCCATGAACGTACGTTGAAGCGAAAGCTCGACACCTTTGTAAGTGACGTTCGTGAGTTTCAGTAGTCGAATGGTGCGGGAGACTACTTACTGAACGTGAAAGCAGACCTTTCCGCTCTGCTGCCCATCCACTTTGAACGCATCGTTATGCCGTTGTCCAACGCCCACGTCCCCGCACTGCCTCGCCGTCGAAACCTCGGAGTAGTGTCGTAGAAGTCCTTTCTTGCGGTCTAGGGGGGTCGCCGTGACTTGTTTGGAAAGCCAGGTGAGCAGGAACGATGTCAATGGAGTTGTAGATCACTTACCCAATGTCAGTCAACCCTCTTGTCGACGTTTCGTCCGTTCAGCCATCATCCTCTCAAATCCACGTCATCGCCATCCCTCGCTAAACCATTGTTACCACCCGCGCGACGTCGTTGAACTTGAAATGTAGTTATTGTTGCATAGAAGGTCGAAATT